GCGTGTCGGAGCGAGACGAAGCGGCGATGGACGGGACGGGCCTCGTTACCATCCCGATAAAGTAAGAGGACATCTAAGTAGCGCATTTAATGCGATTTGTCCCGTAATGACAGACGATAAGCTTGTACACTGTACAACTTCCCACCTCCTTTGTATCACTGTGGCGACCCCTTTTGCCTATAGAAGGAGGCCCAAGGCGTACAGAAGAAGGATTTGGATCTTTTGGACTACGCATGCACCGTAGCTAGTTCAAGAACTCAAGAACACTCAAATATATAGCAAAGCAGGACTAGGGTATTACGCATCACTACAAGAAATATGTCAACTTGCAACCATCACTATTGGTCACTGAAAGGTCATTGTTTTTCATTTGTGACCTTTTTGTGACAAAAACAGAAGGTCAAAAGCTGGCGGTCCTAAATTGAAATTAATGACCTTCTCTGCGAGAAGGTCATGGAATTCCACGACCAAAACAAAAGGTCATTGATTCTATGACCTTCTGTTTTGGTCGCTAGCTCTCTGCCCGGGCCACGTTGGATCCGACGTGGCAATCTGACGTGGCAAAATTGCGACCAATTGAAAAGGTCGTTAATAAGATTCAGCCTGATCCAATTCGACGCTCTAATACAACGTTTTTACTGTATATTTTTCTGTTATTTTTCTCTACCTACATGGGCCTGGCCCAACAATTTGACCTTTTTTATTTTGGGCCATGGCCTTTTTGCGGACCATTTCATTAAGCCTATTTTCCTTGTTTTTCAAAAATGCACAAGGTTCTGATCCACTATAATTTGGGCCGCAACCTTTCTAGAGCCCAAATATTATTTTATCAAGTAGAACATTTGGTCTTTTTCATTCACATATTTCAATTTACACATTTGAACAACAAAATATCAATAAATCTATCAATTAACTGATTAAATCCAGAGATCATCCAGTCAAATACTCACAAGAGCAAATACACGTATGCACGTCCAACTTCCACATACAATCAAAAACAGATACACAAGGGTGGCACAGCGCCAGCTTAATTCCTAGAAGGCCGCGGTGGTGGTATCTACGATGTGTGGGAGAAACGTTCAAGACCTCCTCTACCTCTTCTTGTCGCCTGCGTTCTTGAGCTGCAAGAGGACACAACACCGTTAAGCACAGTTGGTCAGACCATATTGACACGAATCACAAATGTTGGCACTCGATGTATACAATGTAAGTGCTGGTATAGTTTTACTAGCAAAACCGTCACTACTGTGTATGCATGCTTGGTTTATAAGCTTCATCCATATGGTTGGCACCATCACTACATATTGTTGCTACCAATGTACACAAGTGTGCACATACACAGCATGCTGCATGCATACGTGCGCATGCCAATATAAAGCTGCATCTCGATGCTTTTCATTATTGATCAAGAGATTGTAATATTTTAATAATCCACTGCATGCGCCACATAGCTACTCCTACCTAGGTAGCTAGCTATACATAGGTGTACTAGCACCCAGCCCAACGGCGAGTTGATCAGCAATTCAACATACACTAGCTAGCCAGCAAGCTACTGCTATGTCCTATCCTAGCAGCACCAACGACTTTTGTTTGTCATGTGTGTAAAGAAATGCATGCATTTCCAGTAAATACTCCCCCCGTTCCTAAATAATTGTCTTTCTAGACATTTCAAATGACTACTACATACGGATGTATGTAGACATATTTTAGAGTGTAGATTCACTCATTTTGCTCCGTATGTAGTCACTTGTTGAAATGCCTAGAAAGACAAGTATTTAAAACGGAGGGAGTATAAATGTATGCATGCTGGCTTGGACCACACTAGAAGAAAAATGCTCGCAGAGACCAGCAGATAGATCAATCTAGGTGTGCGCTTCTTTCCAGCCGCCAATTCTAACTGCCATTGACTTGCAAGCTTTACCTACGTGGTCACCATGCAGTAATGGCATGCGCACCAAAAGGGAGAGAAGAAACCGAGCATACAGTTTCATGTCGAAGGATCGACATGCCAGAAGAGGTCAGGCCACCGAGGTACAGGTACTCCCTGCGCTTGGTGATGATAGCGGCACTGGAGAAGCACCCTAAAGCGATGGCGGTTCCGACAAACCCTGTCACGCGGATGCTGGTCGCACAATAGCAACAAGCAAGTAATGTCAGCCAACATAAATAGCAAGGATGAGAAACGAATGTGAGCATTGAGCAGCAACAAACTAGAACTTTAGGTACATAAATAGCAAGTTATTGTCCAAGCAACAAAACAATCAGTCATATCAATTTTGTAGAACTGTAGGTACACAAATTCAGAACCACCAACAAAAATGAAGGCCCCAAAAGTCCATGCTTAGGCCCAAAGTTCAATAACAATAACCCAGACACAGCGTCCAAACCCCACCGCGAAGGGCCTAGATACAAACTGTCAATATAGGTAGCATCAATTAAAAGACTATAATGATAGCGGCCCATCCAAACAGTAGACAATGTAGGAAAAAGGAGGGTCTCAGGAGAACAATAGACTAATCCAGAAGCAGAATTTGGCACCTACACAACCTAACTAATAGTGATTGCAAGAACAACCAGACAATGATGGATAAGGACATATAATCAGCAAATATCCAATAATCCTATCACAGGCATTCACAAACAGTACGTGTCACACTCCCATGACATATGGTTTTGTTACTCTCTACAAGACAGGGACATTTACAGCAACAACAAAAGCAAATTCGTGTTTACCTTGGGTCAAAATCTATGGGGAGCTCAATCAGAGGTCCAACCGAAGCCCCATCCAGGAGGGCTCACATAGCTCTTTACGTTGTATCAGAATTAACACATATTTTAGATGACGGAAATAGAATCCTGAACACACCAGTAATAATTGACTTCTGACTAGCAACGGAAAACAGATTCAGGCACAAGCAATTTTATAGCAGGATGAAAAATCTATGTGCAGAATTCATGAATGAAATTATAGTAGTAGCACAAAGCACCCTCACAGACATTTGTAATAGTACGCAAAGGTAAATAGAGTTCCTAGCAGACAATGTATTCCAGTTATTGAACAAATGCTCACCAAGATAATCAGTACAGTGGTGAACCAAACACAGTAATAATCCAAAGCTGATACTAATAAGCAGCAGGAACCTCCCTACTTTTGTTATATAAAACTAATATCGGACCAATTTTGTACCAAGTTGTACATAATCAGTGATGTACAGCATGGGAATGTCCAACAGTCAGTTGTTAAAAACGTTCAACAACCTTTTAGTTAACTATAAGAGGGCTTGTAGGCTTTCCAAACTATTAATTGACAGAACCCAAAATTGTATAACGAGATCACGTTTTTATTATATGAAAAAAAGTTAACTAAAGCCAACAAAACAGTAAGGATCAGTGCAATATTAAAGTTGACACGTTTACATATTGTGGATGTGGAGATCGACATCATCAAGGAGCAGGGGTTAATAATGGACAGGTTTAATCTAGACATCTACTAGTTAAATCAGCTTGATTAGCGTCCAAGCTCTATACTGTTTACCACTCACTCAGACTCAGCGGCACCTACTTACCAGTCCTAAATTGACAAGAGAATGCAGTTGGATTTGCTATGGAGCATGTGTGTGTAATACGTACTAGCAACGAAATGAAGTGTCGATTGGAAAATTCCCCGTCGATGGGTGAGAGCTGAGAGGATGATTTTGCATGGGAGGGAGTGGAGTGGTGAAAAGTGTATAGTGATGCTCATATTGCCGGCTTTGGCATAGCAGAACGCAAACTGAATAAAAAATGACTTAGTTCGCCCACTTGAATAAGAATAGCAAGTCATGAAAGTACTGGCGCCAACACACAGATAATGTGTATAGAAATGGTAGCTAGAAACTGACCCAATACCACGTGAATGATATTTATAGATGATTCATGAAACGAATATTGCCCCCTGAATAGTTATTAACAGGACTTAAAAGTGTATAAGAATTCACCTTCTTATTGCTCCCTCCGTCCCATAATGTAAGACATTTTTGCAAGCAATGTTAGCTTGCACAAACATCTTATATTGTGGGATGGAGGGAGTATGTGACAAGAAGGTAACTAACGCCAACAGAGCAACAAGGACCAATGCAATATTAACAATGACACATTTTATATCCCGTGGAGATAGACACCATCAAGAAACAGGGGTTAGTTAATAATGGACAGGTTTCAACTAGTTAAATCAGCGTACGAACTCTATACTGGGTTCCACTTGGACGGTGTTGGCGCCATCCGGCGGCGCTTGGTCCAGCAGGGGCAGCAGCAACACAGGCAGAGGCACCAGCCGCTGGCGTAGGCGGCGACGATGACCTGGTTGATGAACACCAGGAACACCCCCAGGATGCCGAGACCCATCGCCGGCAGGCTCCGATACACGCAGTTCGTCCCGTTGTACTGCACGGACTAAATATACTCAGTTAGCACAGATCCATCGAATTGATGAAAAGAGAATTGTGATGTTAGATCTTGGGTCCATGCCTTGGAGCTGTAGTTGTTGGCGACGAAGCCGAGGGTGACCGCGACGGAGCCTAGAAAACCCAGGACCATGCACACCAGCACCTCGTCTTTCTCCATGTTGCCCCTTCTCCTTTTTCTTCTGGATGAACTATCAGCAGTTAGAATCGCATTGGACTGTTTACACAGATGTATAAAGACAGGGTCTTATAAATGTGGAAAAGGACTTAAAAACAGAGTCGCATTGGCTATTTAGAGTCTTGTAAAGCATTTAGTTACCTTGAAGAACTTGGCAGCTGGTTACTTGGTCCATCAATTTCGTTGGGATGGTGCCAATGCCATGGGCCTACACTAGAGGAAATCATGGATACGAAGTTAGTTTTAGTATGGTGGTGCTCGACCCCCCAGAAAAAATGGAATTGGTAATTAACACAAACAGGTGGCGTGCTTCGAGGACGGACGTTCAGGCATTTACCTCCGTGGACGTGGAGCTCCTGCTGAAACCTGTACCAGTCGAGCTAGTCGACCGTGTCGTCGGCGTGGTAGAGCAGCTGCTTGAGGGCTGCGAGGGATCTGGCCACCGACCTGTTTCGGGCCGCCCTGTCGTTCACGGCAGAGACGACCCCGTCGACTTGCTCGATCTCGTCCCTCAGCCCCTCCACCTCGGCAGAGGGCCCTGCTTGGCGAATCCACCCGTCCAGCTTGCCGAGGCTCGGAAGGATGGTCTGAAGCAGCCATCGAATTGCCGCCTGCACAGAACTGGCGTTGTCTACCGCCTCCATTCCGTCGGCAGATCCCGATGGCAGCGGACGGCGAGGGAAGAAGACGAAGGCGAGAGGGGGAGCACTAGCCCGCTTATATGGTCAGAGGAGCCTGAGCGGAGGCGCCTCGTACTCCTCCACGGCCGCGGCGGTGGTGGTGGCGGCGCGAGTGAGGGGAAGGGAGAGACGAGGGCGTGGGGGAGGCCATGGACGGCGGGGAGCTCCGCGGGAGGGAGGTGGCGGCCGCGATCTGGAAGGAAGGAGGTGGCGGCTGCGATGTGGAAGGGACGAGCGGATCCGACCGCGGCCGTGGGAGAGAAGGGGAGGGGAGGGGTTGTCGGTGACCGTGGTTGGGGGAGAGGACGGAGGACGGCGGCAGCTGGGTGGTTGGGATTGAGAGAAGGTGCGAGAGGGTTGGGGGTGGCGGCTGTGGGATGAGAGGGGGGGAGTGGATTGGGGGGGAGGAGTGGATCGGGGAAGTTAGGGTTTGGGTGAGAGGGTGAGGGTGTGAGGGTTGTCGTTCGATCCAGAAGCATCCGACGGTGGTTGATGCATGATTCGGGTGATATGCCTATGGACCAATCAGAGCGCACCAAATAATTTGAAGATTTTTTGACCATATAAATTGGTCATGATTGATTACATACAAATTTTTCATTTCATTTTTTAATGCTCAAAATGAGTTTTTTTTTGAAAGACCTATCAAATATTTGTTCAAATGATGTCATATTTTGGACAAGTTTAGATCTTAGACTGGAAAACAACATTGACAAAGAGAGTTTTTATTTCTTTTGCATGAAAAAACAATTTTCCATTTTTTGAATGCCCAAAATAAGTTTTTTTGTGAAGAACTTACCATATATTTGTTGTAAAATTGTACCAAATTAATTTTCTAAAATACTAGGCCGTATATAATGCACAATTGACCAAATAGTTAGGTGTCAAAAGTTTTGATGCACCTCTCATGAAAAAAACAAATTTCCGCCGATTTAGCAGAAAGCGGGTAAAATTTGTACTACAGCTGCCTCATAGTTTGCTCTTTATTTTTTCCAAAAAATCATTTCTAGGTACATAAGTATCTATTTAATCATATAAATACAAAACAAATTCCAAGATTTAATCACTATCTAGGAACGATCATGCCCGTCGTTTTGACCCCATTTTGAAACGTGCATAGAAAATTTAAAAAGAAACAAAAAATTGGAAAAACTTCGCATTGTGTCATTATATGTCACCAAGTTTCCAGGAAAAACAATAAACTTGTAATACAGAAATTATTTTAAAAAATTGTTCTCAGAAATGAGCTATCATGCGTGAAGATTCATGGCTTTCAAGCCAAATGATCAATCTTATGGCCACATTCATGGCATAGTTTGTTCAAATGATCTCATATTGTGCACAAGGGTGCATCTTGGAATTCCAAACAATGTTGCCTAAGGGAGTTTTCACTTTCATTGCACAAAAGAGCCATTTTCCATTTTTTGAGTGCCCCAAATGAGGTATTTTTGTGAAGGACCTACCAAATAATTATTGCAAAATTGGACCAAAACATTTTTCAAAAATAGTAGGCCATATTTGATGCAAATTTGACCAAATGGTTGGGTGTAAAAAGTTTTGATCCACCTCTGGTGAAAAAGACAAATTCCCGCCGATTCAGCTGGAAGCGGGTCAAATTTGAACTGCACCTGCCTCATAGTTTGCTCTTTATTTTTTCCAAAAATTATTTCTAGGTACATAAGTATCTATTTAATCAGAGAAACATCAAAAGTTTTCCAAGATTCAACCACTAGCTAGGAATGGTCAAGCCTGCCATTTTGACCGCATTTTGAAACGGGCATAAAAAATTGAAAAAAAATCAAAAAATTGGAAAACCTTCGCATTGTGTCATTATATGTGACCAAGTTTTCAGGAAAAATAATAAACTTGTAATACGGAAATTATTTTAAAAAAGTGTTCTCAGAAATGAGTTATCATGCGTGAAGATTCATGGCTTTCAAGCCAAATGATCAATCTTATGGCCACATTCATGGCATAGTTTGTTCAAATGATCTCATATTGTGCACAAGGGTGCATCTTGCAATTCCAAACAATGTTGCCTAAGGGAGTTTTCACTTTCATTGCACAAAAGAGCCATTTTCCATTTTTCGAGTGCCCCAAATGAGGTTTTTTTGTGAAGGACCTACCAAATAATTATTGCAAAATTGGACCAAATCATTTTTCAAAAATACTAGGCCATATTTAATGCACAATTGACCAAATGGTTGGATGTAAAAAGTTTTGATCCACCTCTGGTGAAAAAGACAAATTCCCGCCTATTTAGTTGGAAGCGGGTCAAATTTGAACTGCAACTGCCTCATAGTTTGCTAATTATTTGTTTCAAAAATCATTTCTAGGTACATAAGTATCTATTTAATCATAGAAACATCAAAAGTTTTCCAAGATTCAACCACTAGCTAGGAACGGTCAAGCCTGTCGTTTTGACCGTATTTTGAAACGGGCATAAAAAATTCAAAAAAAATCAAAAAATTGGAAAACCTTCGCATTGTGTCATTATATGTGACCAAGGTTCCAGGAAAAATAATAAACTTGTAATACGGAAATTATTTTTAAAAAGTGTTCTCAGAAATGAGCTATCATGCGTGAAGATTCATGGTTTTCAAGCCAAATGATCAATCTTATGGCCACATTCATGGCATACTTTGTTCAAATGATCTCATATTTTTCACAAGGGTGCATCTTGGAATTCCAAACAATGTTGCCTAAGGGAGTTTTCACTTTCATTGCACAAAAGAGCCATTTTCCATTTTTTGAGTGCCCCAAATGAGGTTTTTTTGTTAAGGACCTACCAAATAATTATTGCAAAATTGGACCAAATCATTTTTCAAAAATACTAGGCCATATTTAATGTACAATTGACCAAATGGTTGTGTGTAAAAAATTTTGAACCACCTCTGGTGAAAAAGTCAAATTCCCGCCGATTCAGGTGGAAGCGGGTCAAATTTGAACTGCAGCTGCCTCATAGTTTGCTACTTATTTTTTCCAAAAATCATTTCTAGATACATAAGTACCTACTTAATCATAAATACATGGTTTGGTGGCGATACGTCGAGGTTTGGACGGTGGCCGAGGGCCCCAACTCTAGAGCGCGTAAACTCGCATGCCCACCGCGTGGTCACCGCGTGACCATGGCGTTGCCATGTGTTCTAGGCTGCCTAGGCATGTCTAGTGGGTTGGGCACTCACCAGGTAGGTGCTAGGAAGAAAATCACAACATAAGATTCTCACGAGGAGACCGATCGATGCTCAAACATGAATAAGCAACCAGGTGTTTGATTAGCGGTACGGGAAATGCACATGGCTAATGTGCGTGAGCTTTGGCTGAGGATGATCAGTTACTAAGAAGACTGTCTTCATAAATTTTCAGCTCAAAAGGAGGAACCTAGGTGGTACTTGCTTTGCAAAGTACCACACTGGACATAAATACGAATGCTGAAGCTGGGCTCAAAATATTGAATGGATTGAGCTGGCATTTGGTGGAGGATGGTTATTTGGGCATAGGAAAGCACCGTAGAAAATGGATACCATTTGGACATGCCAAAGTAGTACTTCCTTCACAAAGTGTTTTTCTGAACAGAATAGGAAAATGAATATTTTTTAATTATTTTTGAACTAGGCAAGGAAGGTTTCTTACGTATTTGATGAAGATATGATCCAAATAATTTATGAGATTTTTTTGGGAATTTTGGGAATGACAGAAATATAGGTTGCTTCACAACCTAGGGAAAAAACTGCCACATGGACATGACACATAGGCAAAACTGATGAGGTGGCGCCGAGTCATGGCAACCCACAATAATTTACAAGGTTATGACCATCTATATTGGTCATAATCAGCTAGAAATAAGGCAGCGGACTAGTGCTGTCTGCTTTATGACCATTTCGTGTAAGGAAATTGGGACCTTTCTGACCAAAATGGTCGCTATTCTTTAGGGTTTGGAGCCCCTCGAACAGCTTTTGACCAATTGGTCTGAAATGGTCATAGATCTATGACCAATTCTTCCAGGGTCACTGACAGAAGGTCACTAGTTGACATATTTCTTGTAGTGCATCCTCGCAGACGGAACCTGGGTAAAATCTCCTTGTGCTCACTACTAGTCCCGCTCTTTGCACAACCTCGCGCTTGCCAACCGTAGAAGGGATTCTCGTGATCCCATAGTTGTCGATTCCACCGACATCTCCCCCTCGGTTTTAAATTTTTTCAAGTATAGGTGGTGGAATGTTCACAGGACCTTGGAAACACAAGAAGGTTAATTAATTAGTAAAAGGACACTAGCTAACCCGCATGCATGTGGATGAAACAATTACAATTATGGTGGAAGACAAACATACCGAAAGCATCAGGATTCCATGCAAAAATAGTGCCATGAGTGGTGGCAGCAAACACAAGACGTTTGTATTGAATGGCATCACAGTACTCATCCGTGTACAGAAATTGATTTTTGAGCAATATCCATCGAGGCGTGGAAGTAAGGACGACAACAGGCTTGTCAAAGATAGCAACAACTTCATAGTTCGTGTAATGCCAAGAACAGTTGGGAACTCGACAAATTGCTATCTTCCGTAGACGACAGTCACCATGATCGTATTTGAACTCATGTAGAATACTGGTGTACTCAACCTCTCGGCAGCAGTCTAAGATTTTTGGAAGTGGAACCTGGTGACGAGCGTACACATTCATAAGTTCCCACTCGCAATTGTACCCAATATAAACAACCCAATTTCCAGTTGCGCCTGCCCAAGCCATGCCGTCAAGCGATGGCATCTTAACATCATATGTATCCTTATCAAGCGGCATCAAGTTGCATAAGGCGAGGCTTCCCTCGTCCCCGCGCCAGTCAGCAGGGTCACAACAAAGAAGATAGGGAAGATCAAACCGCTCCAGGACCCTTGGGTTCCTTGTAATGATGTTATTAGTTGAGTCGAGAATGGTCTTGAGCAAACCTGCCATGTTACCCGAGGTGA